ACAAAAATATCGCATTAAGCATTGGTCTGGACTTAATTGCCGTATTATTATTATTTACAATGAACCTGTTGGAAAATAAATGTAAACCTAGACTGAGTTTTATTTAATAATATGTGAACTGATTGTTATAATAAAATTAAACTTATAAAACATTATTGAGTCATACTATGAAATTTAATGAATGTGTAAAATTTCCTGTTAATTAATGAAAATAGAAGTAACTCATTAAGTACATACATATGTGCTCGTCTTTCAGCTAGACTTTTGTATGAAGGGTAGTGACACCAACCAATTGTCCTAACAGTTCAAACGGAAGAGGTTAGACAAGTTAAAAAGTGGAGTACTTCAATTACTGGACGATTGTTCTATTAATTGATTAAGAATGGTTGGAGGATACTAACAAGAAGCCGATTCTAGGCTTTCATCTGGATTAATACTTCTCAGCTAAACGTATCTCTGATCCTCAAGACACTGACTTAATTTTAGGGATCATCCAATGCCGAAGTCAGGGACGCTAGCATCGTGATTAACCTTCTGTATTGCTGATATTTTTACACTTATCAATGATGCCATATCGTCTAACCAACTGCATTTACTCCACTCGATCTGACTAGAGTTTTAAAACAACGACATTACATCAAGGTAGAAGGTAAATAGCTGTAATTTCTCCCTTAAACCGATATTTTCGAGTTATCTATAAAGTAAAGCTAGGCTTACTAACAAGCCAATGTGAATGGGTTGCAAGGCCTAATAATTTGACCTGTTACAATGAATGGGGGTAGAAATATTATACTTTTTGGAATATAATTCTTTAGACCAATCAGGAAACGATGAGTCACCTTTTTCATTTGCCACATAATCTAAACAATAAACAAATTGTGATCCATCTAGTCAGCCTTAAGCTTAGAACGGTCTATGGACTAGATGAAGTAAAAGATGGGTTAGCAAAATACGAAGCAAACATGCTTTTGTGGACCGAAATTAAACACAGGAGAGAATAAATAAAGGACCTTGGAAATGTGAAAAAAATGATTGGTAGTGTCCAAGTTTATATCTAGACCATCTATGTTAATTTTAAAATTATGGGGATTTTTATCATCTGATTCGCCCATAAAACAAATACTGAGGGAAAATATGCGGATGGTTTTAGTGAAATATACATATGACAACGTGTAAATTTAAGGAAAAAATAAGAGTACGGTGTAAAAGTGTTGCTATATGATACGTAATAAAATAAAGTACATAGCTACTTTTTGATTTGTCATTGAAGGGTGATACACATGAAAGCAATGAGAATAAAGAAAATAACCACTCTCGTTAGATTATTAGTCAGTTTCACATTGATGAATTATCATACAAGCTCTCTCTAAGCTACAGAATTAGAAGTAAATACTTCAGTTTAATACAAAGTCTGTGAAGTGAAAAAACATACAAGTCAGCTAGCTGAACAAGGACCCTGCCAGTCACTAAACGTATAATTATTACTTTACTATAGCATCCTAAATAATTGTGAATCTTCCTTACGAACCGGGGAATGGTAAGACTTTTTTATGGAGGTCAGGGACAAAAATAGTCAGGCTATAAGAATGTGTTATCATCATCACAACCTGGGAGTTGTTCATATATACAAAAAATAAAATAATTGTGATAAAATACACCAAATATTTCTGAAATCAAGGTATATTTTGATATGAAGTTCGAACATAATTCCAACTCTAGTAATTATTAATGTATATGTATTTGACATACTGGTGAGAATTTGTACGAAAGTAACTTCTACGCAACTGAGATACGTGTAATTAAAACCCAATAACATTTGCGTTGCCTTTTAGAATTTCAAACGGCTTATTTATTTAGTAAAACGAAATATATTACTTATTAGTAGTATACGCCCATGACCAAACTAGTTAGCCACAAATTGAATGGATTTCGAAATTAAATAGTATTAGACAACATACTTATAACGTATCCTGTTCTTACGCCGATCATTTTACTGACGGCGGATTAATATTTACAGTATGTCATATAATATAAAACAAAAACTTAATATCTACAACTAACAGTTTTAAAAAATAATATTCATCAATGAGAGCTTATAATACAAAAGTGTTTAACTAGATTGAAGCTTCACATTAATTGATGGATTGAGTAGAATTAATTTAAAATATGTACTCGACATATACAACTGATTTATCACTGAGTAGTGGCTAATATTACATTTGAATAATCCTTTAGTGTTGATAGAATTCTGTCGATTAGCAAATTGTAGGAATTAGACATGACGTTGGTCATTCAATACTTCGTGGTTAGTCGATTATAAATATCTCGACGTTGCTACATCACATCAGGATAGCTAGATAAATTCTATAGTAGAAAAGAGTGGGTATAGAAAAAATCAGGTAACGGGAGATTATGTCACTCGGTCCTTAGAAAATACCACGAGTGGACGAACCTGCGTCCGTGACCGATTTTCAACCGCACTACCCTAAATCTTACGACAATGAAGGGAGAGTAAATGAGTATAAGCATAAATAGTATCCCAGATAAAAGCCGAATAAAAAAAGATGCTAATTAACTCGTCCAGCCTATTCTTGAAATAATCTAAATTACGAATAACAATGATTCATCAAGAATCCGACAAAACCACATACATGGGGATGAACTGAGTTATTATTGTGATGTATATGATAGTCTTCAAACCTTTCAAATAATAATACTCTCTATGGTAGTAATAAATAATAAAGCAATGATTTCCAACTATATTTGGTTGAGATAAGTTTAAAGGACGAATGTATACTTCAAGACGATTTTAGCAATCAATACACCTAATGTATTACATTGACACTAGTTACCAACTTAATAATTACTAGAGGTGAAGAGCGAACTCCATGATACTGACTTAAGGAATTGAAGTCAGCAATATAACTTATGAAAATAAATAGCATTATACTTAATAATGTCTTTACCAACTAACAAAACCAATGTGATATTTATAATTGGTAAGGTAACAATAAACTTAAAATTGACCTACTTTAGTTAGCTATTGTGTTCACCGATGTGGTAAATTAAGATATCACACCGACTTAGTTTGGTATGACTCCACCCTTGAGGACTAAGAGTGAATATTTTACGTCGATAGCACCTTGGTGTCACATTGTCGGACAGAAACACTTTCTCGACAAAAACATCCGAAAGTGAGCCTCCTTGAATTCATGTAAATTAGAATTTGGACACCTCTATTCAGCATAATGCAAACATGAAAACAGAAACGGAAATACTATCCCAGCTAACGAATATCATATCTGAGTTTAATGAAAATCAATCGCAACCAGTTAACTGACGATCTTCTATAACCTTTATAAAGTATTTGTACACAGATTTTGGTTCGTAACTTTTCAACGTTTTTCTTACGAACTGTAGGAACAAATTACAGACTGAAATGTAGTTTATTTACACTAAGTAATAGAATAAGTAGTAACAGCAACCAATGTACTAATTCTGTTACGCTTTCACTCAGGGAACTATTCAGAATTAAGTAGGACGAATATGCAAATCACAGGATTCTACCATATACAACCACGAGATGCTCATTACCACACTAGCCCAAAACTGTTAATTCTCAAGAGCTGTGGTTCTATCGAGAAAGACTTTTGATGGGTCTAAACGACAAATAACAAACTTGAGTGCACCAAGTAACACAGAGTAATCACATAACCTTCTTTCGGTCAAGCAATTAGAAGTAAATCAAACCTTACTTCGATTCATAGAACTATATATTTTTGAGGATGAACTCAAAAGTATCCCACCGATAGGGGACAATCAATCGTAATTTACACATGTCTCGCGACCTATTGCATTTTACTTAGGAGTCAGTTAACTGCAGTTTATGACTAGACTTATCAGTCAAGCCAGGTTTATGGTACCACACATCTTATCTGTTTATACTAACAGGCAAGCCTCCGATTCGAGAATCCTGATGATTCAAATTGCAACTCCGAGAGGGTAAGTTACTTCTCAACACATCCGGTAATTTTGGACAAAATATGGATAATCTTTGCAGAATAGAGGAAATGCTCTAACTGTTCGATTCAAATTGTATGGCTGACTGATGATACGAACACTTGCTTACAGATTAGTAGGTTGTAATCGATGCCCACATCTAATATATGTTAGCTACTGATTGTAGAGTAAGATGCATGTGAAGCGCATTTTAACTATTAACAAAGCGGTTTGAAATCACCTTTGGTAAAAGATCATTAGTACTCGACATTATCAAGCGTTAAGAAAAGTTTGCACGAATGTACTAACAAGTTCTTTGGTGATAAGAGTGGCATATACTTACAGGACTTTGGTAACTAATGAACAACACAAAGCAAATAATTTGTTTTTTTAAAATCTAAAATACTGCTGAAAGGAAGCTAACATCGCATCACTTCGTAATAAAATATAACCGATCGATAGTTTCATCAAATACATATAAAATCAGCCTCATGTGTAGTAAGAGATTTAAAGTGAAGATATGGTCTTTAGTGACCATAATCAGTTAAACAAGAGAACATGGGGTTGTTTCTGCACGATAGCATACACACTACAAAATGTTAGTCTACTAACAGCACACTTCGTGAGTAGATATAATATACTTGTAGTCCTGTGTCCATCAATACCTTATATATTAGCACTTATACATAACAAAAGCAATAGTTCTAAATAATGAGTAGAAGTTAGCAAATACAAGAAAGCTGCACGGCGAATCGACTTTTAAATGGACAGTATTAACTAATGTGCAATAAATAGTAAACCATTGTTTTACAGGGTCATATGTTGCGAATAACAACCTGGAACATAATACATTACGCATGGCCGTCCATTCGTACTTGTTTTAAGACTGATTCATACGTCCTAGATACAAGAACTGATATATATCGCATGAACATAATCTACTAAGTACAAACCTAATAATTTGAGACACATTCTCAAAGCTGATTGAAAAAACAAATATGTTAATCTAGTACAATGTTTATATACATACGTGTGTGAATATTTACGGCATCATTTGGCGAAATTTCATATGCTTTCGTTGGGCAGTAAATAAAGACAATAAACGAAAGTTTATAAGCTGAGCATTTTTACAATAAACAGTAACCTTAAGATATTCAGGGGATGTAAAATTGAATGAGGCGACTAGCAAATGTTACAGAACAGCGAAAGCATCCACCACAAGCTTTATTGTGAAATTAATTACATTTTGTTTTCAGAATATGGAGCAGTTGGTAAAACTTCTTCTTTAGCGGCCAAAATTGTGACGGTGTCAGGCAAAGGTTTCCGTGGACCTTTTTTGCCGGAACTATCGTGATCCAACATAATTTTGACTTTGATTCCTAGTATACCTAAAGAAAAACATAGATCAGTAAGACCTCTTCTCGTCTACTTAACAGCTAATACTACTCTTAAGACTTACCTTGTGGAAGCTGAACATGACGTACAGCCTTGTCAATGTAATTGTTAACTGGATCTCCAGAATGGATCATAAGTCCATCACAAAACTTCATAGCTTTAGCTCTCTGACCCTTAATTTTACCAGAAACGATCACTTCAGCACCTCTCGCTCCAGATTCCATGATGAATCGGAGTATACCATAGCATGCTCTACAAAAGTCAGTGTAAAAATTCACACTTACTTCCGTACAGGCAACCCGTATGTCAGTTTGTATCTAAGCGATTCGGCTTGTGCAATAGCGCTTAAACCACGGAAAGTCATCTTTTCTGCAAACAGTCCCAAGGTACCGTCAGGAAATCCGAAGCGTTTTTGCAAGACTGAGGTGAGTTCTCGGATACGGCGTGAGCCCTCACCAAGGACACTCTGAGTTTTTGTAGCTAATATGATGACTTCTGTGTATTTACGGCTTTCACGAACTTGAAAACCACTGTAACCATCGTCAGCCAATTCACGTTTAAGGAACTCATCTAACTCAGCCTTAAACACTCCAGCTTTTATAAACTTTATCGGTAAATAAAGACATGAAGAAACAAACGAACCTTCCGCTTGAGAGACATTCTCGTGGGATTCGTCATTCTTTAAGCACGACTTGCTCTACTAATTCGCGCCGTCACGTCGAAGTTAATTGTGGTGCGCATTATTAACATGAGGACGAACAAACACATGAGTACACAATGATTTTACAGTAGTGCTTTTGATGCATTAACACAGATATAACGTAGATTCATATACATGTTATTGCAATTGGTTCCCTACGTACAGCTTAATTATGTCAATGAATCTGATTCAACCTTTGTCGAAAAATGTTTAAACGATGAAGCATCGTTTTTCCAACTTTTTAAATATTGGGGTTGATTGATCTGTTTTTTCTCAATTGAATCAGGTAGTTATTAATGTTATATGTATGTTTTCATCAACAATTATAAGCAGTGAATTTTAAACGATCATTACGGAGACCAGTACTGAGTTCCGTTCGTGGTCCATCAAATTATATGCTTTGTATGAATAAACCACAGTCTATCATTAGACTGCGTTATACGGCCCCTATTCATTTGACAGAGATCATCAACGTTGATAATCGACAAGTGCTATTAGACTTTTCCTACAGTTCTCTGGGTGTAGTTTATGTCATTACATTAAGACCACGGCTAAATGTCTTTTGATTGAGACCAGATGTATTAGAACTGCATGGTCGATGGGGTAAATGTTCACCCAAATAGATATAAATATGCATTCGCCAATTTACATAGATCTAGTGACTTTCTAAAAAAGAAATTTTACACAAACCCCCAGGCATTGTTAAAAACACGATTCGAGTTTTACAGAAAAATTACACGGAAATATCTGCATGATTTCGGAAATTGGTGGGTTATCATTTTTGGTGGTTTGGAAAGCTAGGTAAATTCTGTTTTTTTTTTTGTAAAGAACTAGGAGGTGATCCAAGTGCGAATAGTTCTCAGAAATGACTTTTGTCTCAATATAATTCATCAGAGAACATATTAGACATGTTTAAAAGTCAAAAATGAACAAAATTTTAGTTGCGCGTAGTTTTTCCTGCTGAATAGTCAACTTCTAGAATCAAGTAACGTAATAAATCGTCTCCATACCAACTGACTAAGGCAGGCGAAGAATATACTTACTGACAAAATTATAGAAAAAGGACTGGTTATAGAGTTTGACGTGGTATTTTGAAAATAAAACGACAGCTCACGAAGTAATTCTATAAAAAATACTGGAAAACTCTGAGGAGAACCTAGCATTTGCTAAGCTATTTTCTGTGAGATACTTGTGTATTATCGATGAAAATAGTTAGATTACCCACACGCCAATACTTGGGTGGTGGTTCATCAAACGTTCCCACTGCTTGTCTTAGCGGTCAGTTAGATCCCTCCGCTTGTGGTGCGATCTGACGAATGCTCGTTATTTTACCTTAGAGTAGGGCTAACGATTCTGGTGTATTAATCATTATAAATTTATCTATTTTTGGTTGTTATGAAAGTATAATAATACACTTTGTTTTACTTTTATCTTTTAGTCTGCTACTAGCTTTGCTGTAGTTTTGTACTATCTGTCCAGACCTTTTTCTCTGTCATTGTATTTCGGTGGTTGCTACGTTACGTGACCGTATTTTTGATTGTTGCTGTATGACTGGTTTATTTGAATAATGGATATAAATCACCTTTTTTCTGGTTGATGGAAACATGTGTTACTGTTAAGAACGCTGGTTACTTATATGGTGAGTGGGTTCAACTGAAGCACTTACTATGGGGGTTCCTTGATTATCATGAACATTATTCACTCTTCGACTGGTAGATATTTTTCAGCCCATTAACAATTTACTTACCTGACGTATGTCAGATATGTGTGCGCCGAACATTTTGTTGAATAACTTTTCGGGCCGCATAACATCTTTCTGCTGTCTTCTATATGCAGCAACCTACTGCGTCGAAAAACTCACTGGAGATGGGTAGCATGTGCACTGTGGAAATCACCAAACTGGATGGAAAGGCAAGACGTAACTTAAAGTTATCTAAGAGAAAAGAAGTGGCAGACAAAAGAACACATTTTGCCGGAGATTGGAGACGGACATCGAAGGAACGAATAGCATTTGAAAACAACCGGGAAGGAGGGCTCAAGATAGACTCACATGGAGAATTCTGGTGAGCGGTCTTTACTCCTCCATGAGAGGTATCAGGAGTAAGTGAAGCCATTCATTTGAGCATTCTGTACAATTCATAATTGTAATCCTTATAGCCAGAACAATGTTCAACCCAAACTTTGTGTCTTGAATTTTCGTGTGACCGCGTATCTAACGTTTCACCAGAAGACACAGAGGATACAGAGGCCAAACGTTACATAAGTTTGGAGGTAACGTTCTCCTATTTATCTTTCTTCTAAAGAAACAAGAGACAAATTATTTGAAACTATGCGTCTTTTATATGACGGAAGACTTATGCCCTGGAACTGAGAAAAAAATCGACTAGTGTACAACACTTATATAATAAACCTATTATAAATAAAATTTGAATCTTGAGTGATCCTGTGAATTGTTTTGCAACAAGAGTTTAGCTACGAATGATGGAAGTCATATGTCAATGAACTTTCGATGAAAATTTGTTACAATATTTTGTCTTACATCAGTTTTCACATTAGGTTATCGTTGTTCTGGCTTCGCTTCAAAATAAAACAGTTAACGAACAAACTTCATCAGCCAACCGTGTTGTTGAGATTGACGTGAGAGTGGAATAAGAGACCATGGACGTACGGTCCCTTACGTAAAGTATATCCCACCTTAGAACATTTTCTTTTAGAAGTTGGATTCTGTGTGAAAAACTGTGAGAGTCAACAAAAGCCGACGCCGGATCATTATCTGCACGAAATAGCTATGCGAGCGTGATCACTTTATATAGCTTTTCGGTTTTCATGATTTGTACACATTTGTCAGAAGAACTAGATTTTCTCTTCATAGATTCTTGCAAAACAGTGCACACTAGCTACAAAGTTTGAATAATCATGAGACGAAATCATGTAACACCGATGTAAGGTCATACGGATCAGAGAGTCACATTATGACGAGCAAAACGTGTTAGGGTGTGATTATAAACCCATCAACATAAATTCAATAATATATGGGAGTCATAGTCCTGAGTTCCAAAGTATTTCATGACAAACTTAGCTATCAAATTACAAGACAGTTCCAAATCATCGTCAGTTATTCCTGACCCAACGGAAAACTACAAACCGGAGGGTTTGTGCTCTCGAGGAGGCTAATCATGGAGGTCTAACTGACCTAAAAGTGGTAGATATCTTTCACTATACTTTTATGTCAATCTATTATAAACGAGAAATACATATCCACTTTGAGGTCTAAGAAGCTCGCGTATTCGTTTGTTTTGTACTAGATGGACGGGGGCAAATGAAGCGAGATATAACTGCAGTACAAAGTTTCCCGAATATTTGTTTAGGTAATCTAGTTAACATATAGGATATTCTAAGTAGTCAAAAAACTGGGTACAAATCAACTTCTAGAATTGAATTGATGTAATTGACAGTCACATGCTCAGTAAGATGTCGTATTTAAAAATGGGTATATAGCCATGTGCACTTAACATGTTTGTATTAAATACCGCACAAACATTGGTCTAACTTCTGGGATAGAATTAGGGAAACTGAAAACCCTGCGATCATTGAAAGCCACCAGGATGTGAGGATAGCCAACTTATAACCCTGAGAAAGTGCTTGGGGTCATCATTTTACTATCGTATGGCCTGTTTAGATGCTAAACCGAATCTTTGCAGCTGTCGAAAGACTAAAAACAGGCTTCTCTGTCAATTGTTATGATTAGGGTAGTTAATGAACAGATATGAGAATATATAATTGAAAACACTTTGTATGTGTATCTGAACCTAAATTTAAAATAGGTAGCACTGAATTTTTAGAGTTTTATCATTGGACGACTTGACAACTTGCTGGAGCCAAAAAATATCAGTTCACGTGGTATTCTTCGGGCTGCAATTAAACGCAACTCAATTTCGTAAATGTGCCCTTCAGCTTAGCAACTAATCAAAATGAGGTGGGAATTATTATATCCGCCATCTTTGTAAGCAATGGCGGTCGGCTTTCTTCGTTTTGTGTTTCTTTCAGCTATTTCTTTTGTGTAGCTATGTAATTTAATGTTTCAGTGTGCCAAAATGCCGCAGTTAGTGTAATGTTCTATATGTTGGTGTGAAATTTACTTCGAATCAGCATTGTTTTTTGGGTTTTTGCTGCTTAAGCAGCAGTAGAATTCTACTCAAGTCATTGTATTTCTTCAGTCAAGCTGGCTAGTCTTATGCTCTAAAATGGTAATCGGTTTTGTATTGACTTGTTTTCTAGATATCCAAAGCCGAAGTTAGTTTTTTTAGCTAAAATAATTTTTGCTGCCGCCTGTGACTAACTGTCCGCATGTTCGTTCCTAGCTGTCTTTTATGATGTTATCGGCAAAATGAAAGGAAACAATCTCCAGTTTTTAATTTTCCTCAGTATTATGGACAACACTATCTTGTCAACGAGTCAAACTAATACCGATTGCCCAGAAGTAGGGAAAATCAGTATTGTTTTTGAAAGGACCCAGACTTCCTACAACCATAGACGACGTCACGGATACTACCAGTCTGTTGCAGAGGGTTTGTTATAAAAAATATGTCATATAGCAGTAATAGAGGGGTTGTATTCGTTACGTAGTGTGTTAAAGCAAGCCTAACATTGAAAAGCTGGAAATCTGCTATCAGTGTGTAGTGTATGTTTGCTGTTTCGGCCATAAAAGGAAGCCGAAGGGTCATGATCAGGGAGTAAAAAAGGTAATTAACTGTTATTAAACCAACTGTTTTATAAGTCATATTTCACCACTCGCAAATCTTTTTTTTACGGTATGACGTCAGCCGGTACCTAATATGTTCTTTCTTACGATGAAAAGTGCCTGGAATGTTTCACCTTTGAATTCGAATTATTTTTGGACAACTATCTTCCAGTTTGAGTGCTTCGTATGCTCTGGTTGACTAGATTCCTACATCATTCATTGTCCCAGTATAACTTTCTCACGCAGTAAGGTCAAGGTAGACACTAGTCTTTCTAAATAAGCATGTTAAGCTA